AATATAGATTATTTGGCTGCGTAGTCTATGCTCACATTAGGCAAGACAAGGTCGAACCTAGAACTCTGAGATGCATGTTCATAGGATACCCTGAAGGAGTCAAAGCTTATAGGCTATGGTGCCTAGAGCCAGGTCACGGGAGGTGTATCACCAGTCGAGATGCAGTTTTCAATGAAGTTGAGATGGCTTTCAAGAAAACTGATGATGTTGGTCGAAGTACAGAAATATCTGAAAAAGAGCTGGAACTGGAAGAGAATCATGTTGAGGTGGAGCATGTCGATGTTGAATTGCGTACCATAGATGAAGTCGAAGAAGAATCACAAGATGTTGTTCATATTGAAGAAGTTGAGGAAAATGTCGATGACTACCTGTTAGCAAGAGATAGGCCTAGAAGAATCATAAATCCACCTCAGAGACTTGGGTATGTAGATCTTATAGCTTATGCCTTAATCTCTACAAGTGAGGTTTTAGATGAAGAACCTAGAGACTATAAGGAATTTATGAGGAGTCGAAATAAGACTGAACGGCTGAAGGCCGTGGATGATGAGATGAAATCTCTTCATGATAACCATACTTTGGAATTGATCAAGAAACCTGTTGGAGCCAGGTTAGTCAGTTGTAAGTAGACTTTCAAAGTTAAGGAAGGAATCAAAGGAGTTATGTCGAAGAGATACAAGGCAAGATTGGTCGCAAGGAGTTTCACTCAGAAAGAAGGTGTTGACTTCAATGATGTGTTTTCTCCTGTTGTGAAGCACAAGTCCATTCGAATGTTACTTTCCATGGTGGCATAGTTCAACCTAGAACTGGAACAAATAGATGTGAAAATTGCTTTCTAGTATGGAGATCTAGATGAAACAATCCTGATGAAACAACCTGAAGGGTATGCAAAAAAGGGAAAGGAAGATTATGTCTGCAAGCTGAACAAATATTTATATGGACTGAAACAATCTCCTCGACAGTGGAATAGGAGATTCGACAAGTTCATGGCACATATAGTTTTTATTAGAATTCAGTTCGACCATTGTGTTAACTTCAAATTTTGACCAGAAAATTCATTTGTTATTTTGTTACTTTATGCAGATGATATTCTCATAAGCAACAATGTCGAAGATGTAATGAAGGTGAAGGTTGAACTCAATAAGGAGCTCAATATGAAGGATCTGGGAGATGCATCCAAGATTCTTGGGATTGATATCTGAAGAGATGGAAAGTAGTCGAAATTATGCTTATCTCAAGAGGCATACCTACAGAAGATTCTAAACAAGTTTGGCATGTCGAATTCAAAGCGTGTTGTGACTTCGAAAACCCCTCAATTCAAGCTGAGTATAGATCAGTGTCCTAGTACTAAGGTCGAAAGAACTTATATGAATAACATCCCATATTCTAACATAGTAGATTATTTGATGTATGTTATGGTTTGTACTAGACCCGACATAGCATATGCAGTAAGTCTTGTAAGCAGTACATGACGAATCCTGAAAAGATTCACTGACAAGTATTGAAGGGGATTCTAAGATACATAAATAGGACTCTGAGTAGAGTCCTAATTTATGGTGGAGTCATGGGTGAAGATAGTAAAGCAGTAATCGAAGGATATATCGACTCTGATTATACAAGTTGTATGGATTCCAAAAAATCTATTTCTAGATATGTGTTCACTATGTTTGGCACAACAATCAGTTGGAAAGCGACACTTCAGAAGGTTGTTACCTTATCAACCATTGAAGTTGAATATATTACCCTCAATGAAGTTGTGAAAGAAGTATTGTGACTTGGAGGTTTTTCTAAGGAGCTGAAACTTCAAGGTCAAGTTATCGCCATTAAATGTGATAGTGAAAACACAATACACCTGTCAAAGAATTCAGCCTATCATGAGCGAACCAAGCACATCGACGTGAGGCTGCATTTTGTCAAAATGGTAATCGAGCATGGAGAAGTCCAAGTGTTGAAGGTTTCAACATATCACAATGCTACTGATATGACCACTAAGACATTGCCAAATTGCAAAATTTTCCACTATATGCAGTTGATAAAGCTGCATGAAGAAAACTAGTGTATTCTCTTGATGTTTTAGAGTTTGTTCTAAGGTGGAGATTTGTGAAAATTATTAGATCGAAACTCTAGTGTCGAGATATCGACATGAAAAACTCATGGATTCAACAAGGTTCAAGCATATCGTCGAAGTCTGCTCACATGTTGTAGTCGAAGTCTGTTCAAGTATGCAGTAATCGAAATGCTAGGTTTTTTTAGCATGTCGAATTGGGCCTGTTTGTTATGTCCAATTGTTTAAGTTAGTTTGTTCCCTAAGTTAGCTTGTAATGGGTCTATCTGTAAAAGGTCATTAGTTTAGTGTGTTAATTTTCTTATAAATAGCATACGAGTCTCTCATCATTACAATACTGTGAATCCTAATTAGGGTGAGAGAGGTTATTTATTATTCTGTAACACTTATAATCTTATTTCAAAGAGAAAGTAAAGAATAACAGTTTATAATCAATTCATTGTGTTCTTGCTTTCCTTATTTCTGCCTTGAGGATTTCTTGTCATCAAGAAAACCTTTTATACTTTATTCTTGTTATTGTTTACAAAGAAGAATATATATATATATATATATATATATATATATATATATATATATATATATATATATATATATATATATATATATATATATATATAAAGAAGAATATGTTTGCTAGATTACCTTTGTTAAGTAATATTTATCAATATCATAAATGCAAAGTAGAATATTATTAAACTAAAAACGGTGCATGTAATATTACTTAAATGTACAATTGAAAAAATATAACTAATATAAAATTAAAAGTGATGTTTAATGTGGGATGAAGGGAGAATTAATTAAAATCTTGAACATTGATTTCTCAACTAATGATATCTTATATACACTTCAAACTTGTGTAGGTCCATATCGACACGAGGTTTACACTAATCTCATGCTAATCATGTAACGCAAATACTATTATGATTAAATTCAGTTCAAAAGCAACTGAAAGTCTAGTCATTATGATAGTTAATTAGCTCTGTAAGATCTAAGAATGTTTCCTAACATGGATTATGAGTTTGATATATTTTATTGCCATAAGCAGTACTTTAGTTGAGCTGTCTATTTTACTTGTGGTAGCATACCTAAGTCTTTCACCATTCATCCAATAAGATATTCATTTTGCCTCCTAACTAAGAAAGAATCACAAAAGAACAAACACGGGGAGCTATCATTTGAAGCAAAATATGCTTCTTGTTCATCAAGATTTTATATGAATAATCAAATTTGAGATTGTATGTCTTCATCTTCAATAATAGATAGTACATGAAACTTGAGTTTTAACATCAACGTCTTAGTTAGGCTAGTGAAACAGCGCATGTTTTTCTTATTCTATTCTACCAATACTTTGGTATCACTAGTTGTATCTAACAAAATAATACTATATCAAATGATAAATTTTAACAACTATTATTATATTATATTATATATAGTTCAGTGGGCTTTCAACAAAATAAGTCAAGTCATAATCACTTCATCTCTAATTCTCTAAAGAAACTCATGTCGGCAAAATTTATGGTTTAAGTTAATTTGAACATCCCTTCTCACCTTAACAAATATAGAAAGACAATAATTATATTAGATGTCTTTTTCTATGAAGACTTTTTTACTAGGATAAATTCACCTGAACCTAACTGGTTCTTTCAAGATTACTCCATTGACAAAACTGTAGTAAGGATTCATTATCTTTAAGCATATTACTAATCTTGTATACAATTCTACCATGCACCAAAACACTACAGGATTCAAGTTTGTGTTATTTAATACACCTTTGTTTGGTTATGGAAATTCACAACATGAAAATTATTGTTTTAAGAGACAGAAAATTGTTCTTAGCTATAACACACATATCCTTAATAATTCTAATGCATTTGTCATTCAGTCATTCAGAATATATGGCAGTTCAACAACAAATCATTGTACATTATTGATATTTTTTTCCGAAAATTAACATAAAAAATCATTTTATTGTATTATTTAAATAATGATTTCATAGGAGGTCTCGAATACATAATTATGATCTTTTAATAAAAAACGTTAAATAAAACATAGATTTAGAAAATGGGGTAGTTGTCTGAAAATGAAAATGGTTGTCGTCAGAGGATTGTCACAAGGATGAGGTCATGAGGTGATAGTTTTTTTAATGGAGAGGGTGTGAATGAAAATGGGGTGTATTGCGGATATAATTCAAGGTATTATGGGAAATTTTAAAAAATAATTAAAGGAGATTGTGAAAGAATCTCAAAAGAAGCATTTCCACGGATCCAGCCATACATGATTCTATGATCATGTGACAAGAAAGAATAGTTCATAAGTGAGATTATTTGAAGAAGTTCATGGCTGAAAAAACTAATAAATTATACTTCAAGGAAAAGTTATTTGATGTATGCAACTACGAGAAAAGAATCGCATCACCATTTTAATCAAATAAGATCGAAATGTAATTTGAGTTTATTCCACATTAGAGGTACAACACCAGCATAACAACAACAGAACAGAGTCTGATATTAAATCAAGGTTTTCTGTTTTGTCAATTAAATCAAGGTGGTTATTAATTGGAAACAAACTTGGCTGTTATTCATCAATTGTTCCTAGAACAATGCCAGTCACTGTTCATAGATTGTAAAGCAAACATCATAATAATACAGAAATGAAACAATAATTTTTCACGAAGAATAAAAACTACCATTTAATATGCTGCCCGACATGTTTTCACTCTTTCTTCACAGGGAGAGAGGGATCTCCGGCAAAAACCATAAATAAGATATGGTCATTTCCTATTTACGTCACACAATTTCTACTAACAATGATTATTCCAAAGAAGTGAACAAAAAATAAGTGCTTATTTTCTTTGAAATAAACTTCAGTGACAAAATAGACAAGAGAGATATGATCTCATGGTTTATCACATCTAGAACATTTATAAATTTCAAGGCACTTATTTCCTTTCAATAAAAGATTTAACCTTCTCCATCCATCCTATTAGCTCTGTTTTATCCTTGTGTTTCATGTACTGATGCAAGTAAGTGGCTAGTTTATTATCTATACCCCTTGCATCCAAGAAATCATAAAGACCATCCTGCAACTCATCATCCAATTCCCTATAAAAGAAACATCATCAAGAAGCGCAAACACAAACCTAAATCTAACTATCATTCCAAATTGTAAGTGGTGTTGTCAATTGCATATTGTAGAAAATAGCAGTTTGTTCAACTTTTGCTATGCAACAGTGCTATGTGCTGCTAGTGTTTCTATTTGACGATATTTTGTACTAAATAGCATATCACGGAACAATAGTAATTTGTTCAAACTCCACTATATTGAAGTGCCATACCCACTATTTAACAACACTAATTGTAATTTGAAAGCAAACAGTTAGAGTAAGAAATGAGTAAGTAAACTTACTCAAAGTCGGGACCAGCATAGGGCTCAGCCGGCGTATTTTTGTCGGCACGTACAAACAGCCTTTTTATCTCTATACTGTCTGGCCAAGCAGAGCACATGATTTCCAGAACTCCGCGATCTCCCTTAGAGATATTGACAATTAAGGTAATATGTAGCTGCACTTCATCTGCATTAGCCACACCACCACTTACTTTTGGAGCAGGAGCAGCTCCATCAAACATAGTGACTTCAACTTTAATGTTTTCATCGGCAAATTGTCTATTCAGTGTAACCCATCGCTCACTGGGTCGGCCATCCACCAAAAAGGAACCAAACTTGTTGGCAGGCTGCAAAACAAGAAGATATCCCGAATTATTGACATAAAAAAGTTTAACTCAGACAAATCAAACAGAAGAAAACAGTTAGGGTAAGAAATAAGCTAAACATTTTGTAGCTATGAAACCTTAATAAGCTAAAAATGCAACAATGTAGCTTTTTTCACAGAGCTAGATATTTCAAAATCAAAAGCTATGAAACATATTAAAAGCTAAATCAAAATCAAGTACAAATGACGAAAAGGGGAAAAAGACGTACGGGTTTGGAAGAAGAAGAGGATTGAATCTCGTATTGAATTTCGTTACGAAGGAGTCTGGAAATGTTTCCTTCAAAAGCTTCTTTGCGCATTTCGGAGATGTAACTTCTTCGGGAAATGTGAAATTGGGGGATTAGGGTTAGGGTTTTTCTGAGGGAACGGAGCAAGCGTGCCATTGAACTGGGATTGGAAAGCGCAAGTGCAGGCTTTAGAATTGATCGAAGAGTTTAGGGTTTATGATTTCTTTATCACAAACCACCGTTCTTACACTCTTTTATTAATAAATTAAAATTAAATACATTTTAAAATATTAAAATAAAAATTTAGAATTTGAGATTTAATTAAAATAAATGAATTTAAAAAATTATGAATGAACTTTTTGATAGTATATTTGTACAGAGATTCATTTAAGCATGTAAAAGGATAAAAAATAGATTAAGAAAGTATCTTTAAAAATTTTTAAAAATTAGATTGACATGCATTTTGGAATTTTTGCTTCTATATTTTTGACGTTGTTATTGAAATAATCAAATCATTAAAATAAAATTGGATGAAAAATAATAGTGATGGATCATTTCACTTCATATCGTAAAAGAATTGAAATTTGAAGAAAAAGATATTTATGTCTGATTTTTTGGTCTAAATAGCAGTGGTGAGAAGAGGTGTAATAAAAAGATCTTTTTGTGAAGTCATTCATCCTAAGACTTCTCTCATCCAAACACACTTAAGTATGGAGTTAAGATCAAATCCAATATAATCAGTTACCTTCAACAGCAATCAAACTTTTCACGTAAGAAACTATATTAATACAACTTTTGATGAATTATGTACTTATTTCCTTCAAAAATGTTCTTAAGATCTAACCACCTTAAGAACTAAGAAGCACTTCCACTTTGACCCTGGCTTGTTGGACTTTGAAGAGAAGAATTTGGAGTTGCCAATAAACCCTCACTTTCTTCACCTAATTCTGAATTTGAATTATCCTTACCTCCACTAGTGTTCATTGGTGCAGAACTATTTAGGGGTTTTTTCTCATTGCCAATTACCTGATTTGTGTATACCGTATTGAGTTATTGCTTCTTTGTTACAATAGCAATCTCCTTTACAGTCTCTTCAAGTTTGTCAAGTCTCTCGTTCACCTCTGACAGTTGCGAATTTGCTTCCTTTTCCTCAGGAGGATTTAGTTCCAACTCTTTTTCTATTTCCTTTGCTTCTTCTCCTTCTTCCTTTTTCTTCCATTTCTGCTCCACGTCCTGTGAATTAATTCGGAGAAAGGTCGTTATCAAGAAGAAAAATCAACACCAGAAGATGACAGTATTCTTTGTCTGAGTATTCTAACACATACAAAGGTCAAATAGGTATTCAAAAATTACCATAAAAAAATATATAATCCAAGACATAACACATTCTTAATAAATGGCATTAGTAGACAAGTGGGATGTAACACCCCAATTCTACCTGACAATTAATATAAAAATCAGAGTTATAAAGTTTCAACAACCGAATCAGGATGCTACAAATTCAACTTAAAACAACGGCATTCATTACAGATACATAACACATTAAACTTAGATGAACCAACAATAATATAAATTAGTCTTTTAAAACCAACAACTTTCATAACTACGCAGCGGAATCAAATGTTCAACTTAAAGAATATAACATCTTTATCCAACTAAAACAACTTCAGATAACAGTTATTTAACGAACAACAACTCAAGTGCAACAGCTGAGTAATAACAATAAAATAGCAAGCTTTCATTCCTCTGAGTGTTACGTATCAGAGCAATGACACTGACTCGAAGTACTGAAGGTAAACCGCCTTCACTCTAGATTACCTGCACGTTACCAATATCGGGGTAACATTCAAACAGAAGGGTGAGATATCAGACATTATAATAGAACGTATGATAAATAAAACATTAGAATCAGTTCATACATATTCACCACTTCTCAAATTTTAACAACATAAGCATAATCAAATCAGCCACACAACGACTCAGAATGCAACACAGAATGCAACTTGTCTTTATGCAAATGCATATGGTACCAATGGAGTAGAACTCCCAACTTAAAAATCTACCAATAAATATAGGCGTCAACAAGGCATAAGCCTTCAACTTAATATTTTGCTAATCCAAGTCAACTTAACAAGCATCAGCTCCAACTTGATATGCGATGTATGCGACACAACATGAATGTAGCAACAATAGCAACAAACAGCAACTTAACATAAACCAATGTTGGTCATAAGCCTACAACTTCAACAATAATTCAGCATCGACATAAATCAACTTTGGCCATAAGCCTACCACATAATATCTACCAAGTTAGAGGCATCTCGACATAAATCATAAACCTACAATTTCTCAACTGAGGACAACTTATACAGCACACTGTAATGACTAAATCGACACAACCGGACAATATAACTAGGGAAACTACAAGCCCCTGGACATACACAACTACAAAGACAGAATAATAATTGACTCAAGACTCCTCAACACAGACAGAAATAAAAGAATAACCATTACTTACGCTTCTCGACACGACCTGCAGCTTTGTACAACTCGACACCACTATTGTGCTCCTCAGCACGTCTTGCACTCTAATACCGCTCGACATCCAACACATATTCTCCGACACACCTCCCAGCCTAAATGCCGCTCAACACCTAACACCATCCACATTCTCCTCGACCACTAGTTCCGGCCAACAACATAGAACAATACAACAGCATAACGACCACCATAACATAATCCATGATCTCCGGTCAACTGCTCAGAATAACACAGAAACGAGCAACTATGTCTACTTTCAACAGATTCACTAATTGTACAAGACAGTCACGCTGAACCCTTCCTATAACCACAAAAATAATTCCTAATTTCCTGCCAACTGCTTGGAACACCACAACACCATAACGACCATAACACCCATTAACATACTATACTAATTTAATCATCGATTCTACCGGGCAATTATACAGACAACTCAAACGCCCACAACATAACAATCGGGCAACTTCCTATAACATGTTCACTGATCATGCGATACAGCCATACAGTGACTTCTTAACGACCACAACATAGAGAAACAGGCAACTTTGAGAACAAATCCATAAACATCAACCCACACAGTCATACAATCGACTAATTCCCATACAATACACATCATAAATCCCATTATAAGGTCAGAACCCCCACCCTTACCTTGATTGAAGTTCGCTCGATCAAAACTCCGGCCGTAATCCTTGCTTTGTTCTGCTCGACACCGGGCAGCTGCTCTTCTCGTCGCGCAGCTTCACACGGTCAGCGCACATAATTCCTTATTCTCCAAAAACAAAATCCTTGTGTCAGCTTAACCTTATATATCCATTCTATTTGGCCTAACCTACACACCCCCACTTTACTACTTCCAACCAATAATATAAGTCCAAGACAATATTCTATTAATTCTGACGTTATTATTATTATTATTATTTATCAACTAATTAATTAATTAATTAATAACAATATAACAACTTATACCAATAATTACCAACATAACACAACTTCACAAATAATCCAAAAATAATTTAATTAAATAATTAATTTAATTAACGGGCGTTACATGGAATCCCATATATCCCTAACAAAACTTATGTTGCACTGAAGTTACAAATCTAAAGGGTTCCGTAAACAGGACATTAAGATGGATCCCTGAACAGATATGGTTCAATGCAAAGAGACATAAGTGATAAGATGATCTAGATATCATATGAAATTATGCATCAAATCGACATTTCTATAATGCACAAGAAAAACAGTTATATTATTACTATTACAAAGGGAAACAAAACATACCTCGGGAGGATTTAGTTCCAATTCTTTTTATCTTTACTTTGCTTCTTCTTCTTCTTCCTTTTCTGCTCTACATCCTGTGAATTAATTTGGATAAAGGCCCTTATCAAGAGGGAAAATCAACCCCAGAAGACGACAGTTTTCTAGCACATGCAAGGTCAAATAGATATTCAAAAATGACCAGCAAGAAAAGAAAATATAATCCAAGACATAACATATTCCTAATAAATGGTCCAAGACATAACATATTCCTAATAAATGGTATTAGTAGACAAGTGGCACCCCATATATCTTGAGTTCAGTAACTACACCAACAATGGAAATAGGTTTCGTACGAAAGTTCAATTATGTTTTACTATTTTATCATAATGTTTTGTGTTAAGAGTCTCATATCAGACAATATATGGATTGAAAATGTGCTTATAAGTGGGGGAAATCTTCATCCTACAAGCCGGTTTTGTAGGGTTGAGTTAGGTCCAACCACCTGCAACAACAAATAACCACAGTGCTACGACAACAAATAACCACACAACATGTGAACTACAAAGCATCTAGAAAATGATTAATACACAACATGTGTCTAACCTAGAAAATGAAAAGAATCAGATACAATGAATATTCTAACAAAAATTATGTAACACTAAAGTTACAAATCTAAAGGGTTCCATAAACAGTACATTAAGATGGGCCCCTGAACTGATACGGTTCAACTGAAGAGACATAAGTTATAAGATGATCAAAAATATTACATGCACACATCAAACCAACATTTCTATAATGCATAAAAAGGTCCCTCTTATATTACTATTATTATTAAGGGAAACAAATAACCACAGTGCTACATAAGTTATAAGATGATCAAAATATTACATGCACACATCAAACCAACATTTCTATAATGCATAAAAAGGTCCCTCTTATATTACTATTATTATTAAGGGAAACAAATAACCACAGTGCTACGACAACAAATAACCACAGTGCACTGACGTTACAAATCTAAAGGGTTCCATAAACAGTACATTAAGATGGACCCCTGAACTGATATGGTTCAACTGAAGAAACATAAGTTATAAGATGATCCAAATATCATATGCACGCACGCGTCAAACCAACATTTCTATAATGCACAAAAGGTCCCTCTTATATTACTATTATTATTAAGGGAAACAAAACATGCCGCTTCCATTGTTCTTATTTCATAACGAGCATATTGCGCCTTCAAATATACAACTGCAACATTAAAGGACAAAATGTTTGTAGCTAGATGTTAGCAGTATATTTTTAAGAAAATACTACTACTAATAATAACTCAAGTTCAATGATTGGATAAAAACATCAAATATGCGATCATACCCAAGGAAGGCATGCAGGCAAAAAAAATTGCACAAGATGGAAATCAAACCTGATCAAGAAATACAGAGATGCAAAGTAAGCATCTATTTATAAATTTGGTTATCTATAAGCATAAACATTGAAACTAAATATATGATGGTTATTTAATCATAAATATTAAAAAAAATTGTTGAAGATTGTGGATGTTGTGAAGATGTTTGACAAAATGCACGAGAGATTAGAAGGGGGGTAAATATCCAAACTTTCTTTTCTTTGGCGAATCAGTGAAAAGAATCTTGATGGAAGTCATCATGTCGAGATTTTCGAGCTGCCAATACCTTTCATCAGTGATGATGTCCTTGTTGTTGATGTTGTTACCATTCTTCGCCGAAGTATAAAAGGAACTTCTCTGGGCAGAATTGTTACATAATGATGTTGTTGGAAAAAGCTTGAATTGCACAACGAAGCGCAACCACCTTGCTCTACTTCTAAACATCCTCCTTTCACTCTAAAAGTTTCAGCTTAGTTTTATCATTTCACCAGAGCAATGTTGCTAATCCTGGACCAGTAATGAGATCGATCAAAACATTGGCACGGTAAATCATAGGTCAAAGCAATGGATCGAAAAAATTCTTACAAAAAATATTTATCTTTAAAAAATCATAACATACCTTCAAAATAAATTTTGAAAAAATCACAATACAAATTAACATGATTACATAAACTCATTCTTCAACTTCAACTTCAAAACCATTATCATGACATAAGTACATAGCTCTGAATAAAAGCGTGTTCGTGTTTCAGTGTCTGACACCAACACTGTAACTTGTGATTACAGTCAATTTATTATTTTTTTCAAATTATTATCAGGATAACGTGTCTATCTCGTGTATAGAGAGGTGACATACATATACATTTTTTATAAACTCATCAAATAATGGACGCGTAGGGTTTAACCAATCAGTTAACAATTTCGATCTCCAATCGCATGAAATGAAAAAGCAAAAACAAAACAGATTAGGGTTAATTCATAACTCCATAGTTTTCTTAAGATCTAATTGAGAAAATTGGAAGGGTTGATAAGAAGAAGAGAACACACCAATAGATGAACAACAAAGAGGCAGCAGAAGCTTGAACTCCGACGTTGGTCGTGCGCGGTGGTGTGGTGGTTGGTTTGCGACAGTCGAGGTGGAATCAGAATGGTGCCGAGGGCGGCGCCGACGGGACGCAGTGGTGGAGATAACAGGCAGCACAATTTGAGAATTTATTAACGAAATATGAGATTGAGTGAGTTGTTAGAGAGAGAATCTTTGGGGTTAGATGAGTAAAACTAAATAGTTATCGGGCAGTATACACAATTTTTTTATTTTGATTTCGATTATATCTCATTCGTTCATTTTGCCCCCTTTTATTTCTCTATATAGCTTTTAAAAAATTGATTGAAGTAAAATATTGTTTAAAAAATAAAAGTTAAGATAAAAAGAATTAAAAGATAGTGTACTATCTGTGTATAAGATAATTTTATGCATATAATTAATCAAAATTCTTTCATTTATCATGTTATTTCAACATTTAAAAAAAATTAAAATTTATTGTGATGTATATCTTTAATTGATTGACATTATAAAAATATTTTATATTTACGATGTATTTCTTATTTTCTCAGATAAAAAATAATTACAAGTCTTAATATGATAATAAATATTTATGAATAATATTTAGAAAATATATCCCGCCATCCCTAATTTAACATAATATTTTATAACAATAGTGTTTTTACTTTTATATTCCTCGTAAATTTTATGTTTTTTTTAAAAACCGTGTTTTCGGAATTTTTGTTTTTTTTTTATTTTACCGGATTTTTATGAAGATCTATAAGTTTTTATAATTTTTTTTTTGGTCTATGAGTTTTTATTCAATTTTTGAAAAACAAATGTAAAAAATATACTTTTTACACTTAATTTTAAAAAACAAATGTGAAAGCATATATTTTTTTTCATAAATTTATAATTTTATATTGGATTTTTAAATTAAAAAAACTAGTGTAAAATCATACTTTTTTTATATTGAATTTTTCAAAAAAAATATAGTATAAAATTATAATTTTTTGAAAAAAAAATCATTTTTTACCAATTTTTTGTGTTCAGTTTTAGTTTAAATTTTATCAAAGATAATATGGATATTAACAAAAATTGAGGGTGTCAGTTAAATTAAGGGAGTGGCATGATAAACTCTATCATATATTAAGAGAGTGGCATGATAAACTCTATGATATTTGTAAGTTAAATTGTGTGAAATGTTGAACACATAATAAGAATTTATTATAAAGTGTTGAGTTATTAGTTAACTCCCATGAATTATAATTTAACTTAATGATTTAGACATGTAATTGTGCCATAAATTGGTATGGATAGTATGGGTGTTTAGGCTGTAGTTTAGATCGATTTTTAGATAAAATTCATCTGAAGCAAAGATGAATTAATTTGTGGTTTGATTCAGTTTTGAATAATTTGATGAAAAAATTTGTTTGAATCAAATTCAACATAATACAATTTTATTTAGATTGTTATTTGGATATTCAAATTACAAATTATATTTTTATTAGATGAAATACTCATTTTGATCCCTTGACTGTAGATTATGGTTCACTTTGGTCCCTTATCTTTTTTTTCGTGTCAAATTGTCTCTTAATTTTCAAAATGATGCAAACAAGTCTCTTTTGTCCACTCTGTTAGTCAAAGTCTGTTAAAAGTCTACGTGACACATTTGACTAACTCTTGTGACGGAGTTAGCATCCGAAAAACCGACGCTAAAAGCTATTTCTAAATTTCGTTTATTGTTGTTTATCTTCTTCCCAAAAAATTTAACAATGAAATTAAGAGAAATGCTAATAACAGAAAAGAAAATAATAATATTATAATTATAAAACTTTTGCGTTCAGCTACCTTCAATTCTTTTGCACCGAAGTCGCAATCTCTTCCTCCATTTTTCGACCCATAATTTGAAGTCAAACATGGTACTTTCCCACCAAATCCTCCAACACCAAACCTTCAACAGGATCAACAGCGAACAACCATTCAATCACACAGCCACAGTCAACCCTCATGGTTGACTCATACGACCTAAACCCAATATTACAATCCATGATCTCATACTTAAGACATCGTTCAACATCATCAACGACCACCAATATCTCCTTTGACCAGCTCACTTCCTAAGAGTCGTACGATGGAAGGGAGAATCTCGTACAGTATCGTATACATCCAGGCTCATCGTTGGATCTGTAGATGCCGTAACATGTGGCGAGGTTAGGGAAGCGTTTGTGAAGGTTGAAAAAGTCTTTGACAAGTGGCAAGGCTTAGTGTTCAGTGGTGTTTTTGAGATTGGATGAAATTTTTAGGAAGAAGATGAACAACAATAAACAAAATTCAGAAATAGCTTTTAGCGTCGGTTTTTCGGACGCTAACTCTATCACAAGAGTTGGTCAAATGTGTCACATAGACTTTTAACAGACTTTGACTAACGGAGTGGACGAAAGGAACTTGTTTGCATCATTTTGAAAATTAAGAGACCAATTTGACACAGAAAAAAGATAAGGGACCAAAGTGAACTATGGCCTATAGTTAAGGGACCAAAATAGATATTTTGCCTTTTTATTAATATTATAAACGTACTATCAAATAATGTGTTTTATATAATACATATTACATATCATATAGTATATTAAATTTAATATTACAAAATAAGAATGATTGTTTATGTTTGAAATAAATAAAATAATAAAAATAAATAGATTAAATCAAACAAATTAATAGTATTAAAAAAATAAGTATCATTGAATAATAAATTAATACAATACATTTCATTAATACAAAATAAATAAGTATAAAAATATATACACGCGATTCGATTTAGTTTAGATAAGTTTTAAAAAATTCATCTGAAATTCGATATGAACAAAACAACTTTCACAAAATGCCATCCAAATGTGTCTAATAATATTTTGTTTATTGCAAGTTTTTTCTATTTTATTAGATTGTTTTGCGGATTTTATTTGGGTCAATTTGGATTTGAACACCCATACTTTTGGATATGTATGCTTGCCTTGCATGTTGGCCCTAAAGATCTTACGACCGTTTAGGTTCTGAAAAAACGTCTCACTCTAGTTTTCCATACAAAATTCTCTTTTCACAAGATGTTTGTCATGGTACATAAGCAATAAACCTCATTTCTTCTAGCTCGTCAAACTTTATAAATATTTAGAAAATTAATGGCCAAGATGTGCTCCAATTTCATCGGAATATGACATGTTTTATCATACAGTAGTTGCTAAATAGAAATCACGAGACCTGTTTTGAAATTTGTGTGGTAAGCCCATAGTGCATCATGCTGTTTCTTTGACCATTTTTTTGGAGTATTCACACTCTTCTCAAGCATTATCTTGAATTTCTTGTTGGAAACCTCAAACTTTTCCACTAGTTTTAGGATGATATATAGTATTTTCCTTGTGTGTGACATTGTACTTGGATAGAAAATTACTTGATTGCTTGTTACAAGAATGTTTCCTCGTATCATTGATCAAAACTCTAGGTACTTAAAACCTAGTAAAATATTTTTCTTCAAAAAGTCAACCATCATTTAAGGCTCTAGGCATCGTTAGAAATAGAAGTAATTTCTTTAATTCATTTAGTGACAAAATCTAAGCATACAAGAATATTTTGATTTGAGTGAGAATAAGAAAACATGCTCATGAAAGTCGATCCTCAATTAATCAATTGGTTTAAACTCTAATATCTCATTAAGTGACATCTCATCTCATTTGTTAACTCATCAAGTCATTTGACATTTGTCACACTATTTTAAAAAAATTCACACAATTTTTTAACTACTTAGGATTAAAGAACTCATTTTGTGATACTTTTGTCATAGGTCTTTTTTCCAATATGATGCCCCTCATGTTGAGATCTATCACAATTTAATATGAATTATTATCATGATTTCTCTTTCTACACATCTTCTAATCATTCTATAATACCTTACTTTAATCAAAAAGGCTATTCTCCCAAGGTTGGAAATTTTCTTCATTAAAGAATGTCTTATTTTGCTTCCATGTGAAATTTATGTGCACCATATTATTTATTTGTAGTTAGACATGTCAACACAAACCATAACCTTTCGGATATAGCAAACACATGCTCTTAGGGAAACTCATCCACAATATGCTTATAGCAAACATATGCAAATGATTATGGACGTAATTATTAACTTTATTTTACAACACTGAAAAAATTATACATTTAAGACCAAACAAAAAACACTTTTTTTCACAGGGAGATTGCGTAAAGATTTTACAATTTTAAAGAAGCTCTTAACGAGAAGGCGATACATACTCGTGTGTTCTGAAAAACTTCTTATTAGTTTTACATTAATGGGTAGTGATAGTTTTTCTATGACTTCAATATTTTGGTTTGATTAACCTCAATGTCTATTGAAGAAATTTTGCATCCTCATACAATTTCTTTAATTCCTATGAAATGAAACTTCTCCAACTTTAAAACTAAATTGGCGTCAGGGCATCTCATTAAAAATAACACTGAGATTATTAAGACAATTATCACAAGTGTGGCAAAAAAGAAAAAAAAATCATCCAAAAACACCTCTATGGAGCTTTATGTTATATCATAAAATATATAAATCACGTACATTTAAATATAGTAAAAACATCACACAAACTCGATAACACCCTCTTATAAATAAAAATTCCAAAAGGAAGAGTTAATGTGTATTCTTCATCAATTGGGTCTAATGGACATAGGTTTTTACCATAGTAAACATCTAAACAAACATTAATAAGCTTGACTCTCTAGTATCTGTAACATATATTCTTTGAAAGGTAAAGAATAATCATCTTTCCTATTTTCTAGATTCAATCTTCGGTAATCAATGAAAATCCTCCCATCAATCTTTCTTGCCATTGTTCTTCAAATATGGATACGAAAAATCCTCATAAGGTGGAATCACTTGAGACTTCTCTCTGATAAGTGTGGAATTTACCTGATTTTCTATATTAATTTTATATACTTATTTGCTTATTTTCACACCAAATAACTTGTAAAAATCCCTGATTTGTGCTTATATTAAACATTGACATATGATTACGAATTAATTTTGATTTATCACTATTTGAAAGTAATAGGTTTAATGTATGCAATGAAAAGAAGAAAGTATCAAAATCCAAGTCAAATGGAGCACGAAACTCAAAGCATTCGAGGCCAAAGTTAGATACAATTCACATGGTGAACTTATCCTCGATTAGAGAATATGAGGCTCGGAGTTGGGCTTGTAAAAATAAGAAAAATTTGTTGGGCGAGTCACATTTTTTCAAACGAGGTTTAAGATTTTTTTCCAGCACAAATAAAAGCTAAAAAAATTCAATTATTTGGGTGAGCCTTCCTTCATCCAGTAAACAAGGATAAATTTAAAATATATATATATATATATATATATATATATATATATATATATATATATATATATATATATATATATATATATATATATATATATATATATATATATATATATATATATATATATATATATATATATATATATATATATATATATATATATATATATATATATATATATATATATATATATATATATATATATATATATATATATATATATATATATATATATATATATATATATATATATATATATATATATATATATATATATATATATATATATATATATATATATATATATATATATATATATATATATATATATATATATATATATATATATATATATATATATATATATATATATATATGGGCTTGGATTATCAAATAAAGGAATTCATCATCTTGTATGTAGTTTACTTAAAATTAGTATTTAGCTTTAGTTTTATATTTTAATTATGAAATGAAACTTCTCCCAATTTAAAACTAAATTGGCGTCGGGGCATCTCATTAAAAATGACACTGAGATTATTAAGACAATTATCACAAGTGTGGCAAAAAAGAAAAAAAAATCATCCAAAAACACCTCTATGGAGCTTTCTGTTATATCATAAAATATATAAATCACACACATTTAAGTATAGTAAGAACATCACACAAACTCGATAACACCCTCTTATAAATAAAAATTCCAAAAGGATGAGTTAATGTGTATTTTTCATCAATGGGGTCTAATGCACATAGGTTGTTACCATAGTAAACATCAAAAACATTAATAAGCTTGACTCTCTAGTATATGTAACATATATTTTTTGAAAGGTAAAGAAAAATTATCTTTCCTAGTTTCTAGATTCAATCTTCGGTAATCAATGCAAATCCTCCCATCAATCTTTCTTGTCATTGTTCTTCAAATATTGATACGAAAAATTCTCATAAGGTGGAATCACTTGAGACTTCTCTCTGATAAGTGTGGAATTTACATGATTTTCTTTATTAATTTTACATACTTATTTGCTTATTTTCACACCAAATAACTTGTAAAACCCCCTGATTTATGCTTATATTAAACATTGACATATGATTACGAATTGTTCCTGATTTATCACTATTTGAATGTAATAGGTTTAATGGATGCAAAGAAAAGAAGAAAGTATCAAAATCCAAGTCAAATGGAGCACGAAACTCAAAGCATTGGAGGCCAAAGTTAGGTACAAAACACATGGTGAATTTATCCTCGATTAGAGAATATGAGGCTGGGAGTTTGGTTTGAAAAAATAAGGAAAATTTGTTGGGCGAGTCACATTTTTCCCAACAAATTTAAGTCGATTCAAATAAGGTTTAAGATTTTTTTTCTGGCACAAATAAAAGCTAAAAAAATTTAATTATTTGGGCAAGCCTTCCTTTGTCCAGTAAACAAGGATAAATTTAAAATATATATATAAAGGGGATTGGATTATCAAAGAAAGGAATTCATCATCTTGTATGTAGTTTACTTAAAATTAGTATTTAGCTTTTGTTTTATATTTTAATTATGATTTCAATTAGTGAGATAACTTAAGTGTTTATCAAATCAAAGGCCTATTAAAATGGAGTCAGCAAAGGATTGATAGACCATTCAATATGATTTTGCTTCTATAACTTCTATCATACCACCATAATTAGTGTTGAAAGTGTAATTCCTTGTGTCGAAGCAGGTTGTTGCTCGATATAAGGTGTTTAAAAAACCCTTGTCTATCAAGTTGTATGTAGTTGTCGAAGTATTGTAAGCAGGTTACTATACACAAATTTCAATTTAGA